CAGTAACCATTCATGGTAAGACTTTCAGAAAATGATGAATAAAGATGAACTATGGCACATGTGTTCAAATAAGAACATCTAAAAAAATCAACAGGTAACATCATACTTAATGAAAAACCAAATGTTTTCCCTCTAAGATTGGGAATAAGGCAAGGATGTCTGTACACAATACTTTTTCAACATAGTGCCGGAAGTCCTAGCTAGCACAGTTAAGTAAAGAAGAGAAATAAAAGAAAGAGAGAAAGAAAAAGAGAGGAAAGAGAGAGGAAGGAAGGAAGGAAGGAAGGAAGGAAGGAAGGAAAAAAATGACGTTGTCCTTACTTGCAGAAGACATAATGTTCCATGCAGAAAATTCCAACAAATCTACACACACACACACACACACACACACACCTAGAACTAATAAATGATTTCATCAGGAATAGAAGTTACTTTGTAAGATAGAAAATTAACATACCAAATTCAATAGTATTTCTATACACTAACAATGAACACACTGAAACCAAAAATGTGTGACAGAATTTAAAAAGACTCAAAATTAAATACTTAGGCATAAATATAACAACACATGTATGGAGCTTCCATGTTTAAAAAACCATCATACAATTCTAATAAAAGAAACCAAATAAGACCTAAACAAATGCCAAAACATGTTCATGGATTGGAAGACTTGACACAGTGAGTCTTAACTCTCTCCAAATTAATTTACAGGTTTAATATAATTCCTATAAAAATTCCAACAAGAGCTTTTGTAGCTCAAGACAAAAGTATTTTTTTTAATTTTAAAAATAAAAGGTGAAAAATACTAACAGACAGACAACATTTTACAAAATAGCAAAGGATCAGTACAGACAGTACAGAGGTACAAACAGAGTGGTAGGGAATTAACAATGCTTGTTGTATTACATATTGATATCTTCAAAGTGGTTTCTCATGAAAACAGATAGAGACATACAAAGCTGATCAACCAAGGACTCATTGACAGTTTCTTTCAGCAAGGAAATACAAGACAGTAGAACAGCCATGTTAACTATCCTGCATATACATACATAGAAAGGTTTTTACCTACCTTCTCTTCCAATAGCTTTAGTGTTTCTGGTTTAATAAAGACAAAAGTATTTTAAAGTCAAAGAAATTAGAAAGAATTGAAAGAATTCTTGAAAAAGAATTATAAGATGGGAGAAATGTAAGACATACATATCCTATCAAGTAATCACGTAATAAAGACAGTAATTAAACGTCTGGCAGAGGTAGGTCAGTGTTCGAGCACTTTCCTAGCATGCACAAGACCCTAGGTTCAATCCCTACCATCACAAAGAAAAAAACTGAATTTGGGATACATTTTGAGCTATAGGTGTAGCTCACTTGTAAGGTACTGGCTCACCAAGCGAGCACAAAGCCTTGGGTTCCATATGTAGCACCACACATACACAAAAAAAAACAGTGTATGCTTTTGTTAGAACAATGGAACAGGACAGAGAACCTACAAATAGATTGGTATAATCAAATTATTTTTAACAGGGATGCAAAAACAAGTCCATGAGAAAGAAGAACCTTTCCAATAAATTATTCTGAAGCAAGTGGATATCCACAGGCCAAAGGTGGTGGAAAGAACCTCAACCTAAGTCTCTACTTTACATGAAAATCAACAAAAATGGATTATGCACTTAAATGTAAAGTGTAAAAGAGTAAAACTTTTAGGAAAAGAAATCAATACACTGGACTTCATCAAAAATTATAAAACTTGGGGCTGGGGATTTAGCTCAGCGGCAAAGCGCCTGCCTGGCAAGCGCAAGGTCGTGAGTTCAGTTCCTGGTACCAGAGAAAAAAAAAAAAAAAAAAAAAAATTATAAAACTTTTGTTCTACAAAATACTCTACATTAAGAAGATTAAAAGATAAGCTTCTGAGTAAAAGATATATGAAAAACAAGATCTAGCAATTGCCTTGTATTCAGTATTCAGAATAAAGAACTTTCAAAACTCAACAATTAAAAAAATTACAAAATCAGCAAAGGATAGAAACAGACATGTCAGGAAGAGGATATATGATGGCAAATATACACAAGAACAGATATTCGACATAGCTAAGGAGATGCAAATTAAGACCACAATGAGAGAGCACTAATCAACTGTTAGAACAGCTAGCTTTTTAAAAAAAAATCTAAGGCTTACTCTAAGAGCACTCTATTTTTGTCTATATTAATGGTGACACAATCTGAAATCTGTTTATTACTTATAACCTGGACTCAGAAGTTCACTTGAAAAAATTTTATTAGTTCCATTGTGATAAATGGAGTAGACAATGGAAATACCTAAAGCCAAACTCATTTCTTGTAAGGGTTCAATTCTGATATTAATTTCCCAAAATGTTGATGACCATCTTGCTGTTGGTTTACTTTCTTTAGCCTTTCTCAGTTAGTGTTCTGTCAGAGAATTAAATGACACAGAAAATGATTCATAACTCTTTTATCAATTTTCCCAAAGAATACACATAGCAACTACCACTCTACATGCATAAGAGAGCAGTTAGCTTAATATATACATAGGATGTCTGAGGGCATGAGAGCTTAATTCTTTCCCAAAGTCTTGGTTGAGAAAGAACCATAGACTAATGGTCATGTGTCTGTTCTGTTTCTCTTTATCCATGGATCTAAAAATTATGAATGCTAAGTCACTTCATTCACTCCAAAATAAACTACCCTGAGAACTAAAATAAGAAGTTGTATGAAATTGCCCAACTATTTATATTATGAATTGTGCTGCTAGCAGGCACTAACATCTCTCAGCCAGATACTATGTGATCATTGCACTAGTGAGAGAGTTTCATGGTGAGGGACATTCACAGAACAGGTGGATAAAAGAAAGTATTGTCTTTCCATACATCACAGATAACTGGCTATCCACATGCAGAAACATGAAGCTGGACCCAATCTTCTCGAACTTGGAGTAGGAAATGATTTCTTAGATGTGACACCAAAAATATTAAGTGACACATCAAAATTGAAACCTTTTCTGCTACAAATGATCCCATCAGAAAAGTAAAAAGACAACCCACAGAATGGGAGAAAATACATTCAAATCATATTTCTAACACAGAGGTTGTATCCAGAATATATAATAAAGTTGCCAGTCAAAAATAAAGAGCTAAATAACTCCATTGAAAGTGGGCAAAATATATGAATGGACATTTGTCAAAGAAATATAGACAAATGGTCAATCGGCACATAAAAAGATGCTCAACATTGTCATTAAGGAAATGCAAATCAAAACCACATTCCTCAGGATGCAATAATAATAACATCTAACCAGCTCCTCAAAATGTTAAACATAGACTTACCATATAATCCAGCAATTCCACTCCTAGGTATACTGTATATCCAAGGGAAATGAAAACATAGGTCTACACAGAAAAATGCACACAAATAATACAGCAACATTAATAATTAAAAAGTAAAAAAAAAGTCCATCAACTGATGAATGGTTGAATAAAATGTGGTATAGCCTTAAAATGGAATATTATTCAGCAACAAAAAACTAAGGTCTGATGTTACAACATGGATGAATCTTGAAAGCACTAGAATAAGTCAAAGAAGTCAGACACAAAGGACCGTATGTTGCATGATTCCATTTACATGAAAAAGACAAATAGATAAAATAGAGACAAAAAGTAGACTAGCATTTGCCAGTGGCTGGGTGCAGAGGCAAATATCAGACACACCTGCCAATGGGCATGAGGTTTCTTCTGGGGATGACCAAAATGTTCTAAAATTAGACGGTTGTGGTGGTTACATGACTTTGTGAATGTACTAACTACCACTGAATTATATATTAAAAAGAAGAACTAGATGCTATGTGAATTATATGTCAATAAATCTGAAATACTTCTAAAACAGAAAATGAAAAGATGTCCGAGTGAAATCCACCAGATATGCTGCCACCCACTTTGGAGGACACTGTAGCCAATACTGACTAACTAGAATTAACATGATGCCGAGATTAAAGTAAAATGCTAGTAGTCAAACATGAAGGAAAATTTAGCTTTTTTTTGTCCCTAGAAGGGACCTATCCCCTAGGCTTGAAAGATAGTCAATGGCCTCAGTAAACATGACAAAAAAAATATACTTCATGTACGGACTGACACCACCAGGGAATTGTCCATTTGTGGGAAATCATTTGAAAAAGGATGCAAAGATTCAGAATTGGACTTCGGCTTCAAATGCAAATTGCTGACAGAACCTGTTGCTTTTCTGTCTATAACAGTGTAAGCAGAAGAAACTCCACAGCAGCCCCTGAAACCTACAAGGTTCTACGGAGGTGTCCTAAGAGATCTTGACCATTAAGCATAGGGACCAGTTTGGCTCACTGACAGTAAAGTGACAGCAGTAGATTTCTGCCCTTAACAATTTAATGACACTATAGGAAAACTGAGGCAATGACAAAGCCTTCTAGTGAAGGATGGTTTGTTCATAGCATAATTGTCTCAGTCCCTGGCCATGCCCACAAATATCGCCATACTCTCTCCAATAATTGTTCCAGCTGGTGAGACAGACATTATGGAGGTCCTGCCTGTGCCCATTCAGGGCTGGGGTGTTCAACAACAGGAACTCTGTGAGGATCTTTAAAAAGTCACACACCACTTCTACTGAAAGTTAGGTCTTTGGTCACAGAGCTAGCCATTTGCCATAAAGAACATGAGATTCAATAGGAAAAGAAAAATCTGGAAAAATCTGAGCCAGCATAAGTGTAGGAAGTATTGAAAGTGTAGGAAAAAAAGGAAGGAGAGAGAAAGGGCAAGAACTAAATCAAATTGAAACACTACAGCATAGGAGTCACCTGCCCCTTTACATCAGGTCAAGTCCTACAGCGTAAGGCCTTTTCTGTGACTGGAAGACTCTAATCCCACTGCAGAGATAAGATAAGCATAGACCCTTTCATCGGTGTGAGTATAAATGTAAACACACACACACACACAGAAAGAGACTTAAAAGAAAATTACTTACTTTTGGACTGTCGGATGGGGTTTCACAGATGCTCCAGGAGCTGGCCCACCTACAGCAGTAGAAGGCTCTTGGTTTTCAGCAGATTGATTTTCAGGTCTGAACTTTCTACGAATGGGCTTTGATGGAGGCTGGGAATATGGTACATCCTGTGGATTAAAAACAAAAGAAAAAAAAACCAAAAAACTAAACACTTAAATGCTCCCCCCATACATCATTCCAGTGTCCTATGTTCCTCCAGCTATGTCCTCCAGGTCAGAACACTGCTCTATCCAAACTCGGCACGCAAGGATACATGGCCGATTTCTGGCTTGGCGAGAACTAGAGGGAGACAGCCATCAGATTTCGATTTTCATGTTTCCTTCCACCAGATTCCAGTCTTCCTTACTTTTTCTGGCAATAGTGTGAGTTGAACCCAGGGCCTTCACACTTAGCGACATCCCCAGCCCCTTTTTTAATTTGTTGTTTGAGACAGGGTCTTACCATGTCATTAAGTTGCCCAGGCTGAGCTTGAAGAACTTCTGATGTTGCCTCAGCCTTCGGAGTGCTGGGATTACAGGTTTGTGCTACTACACCTGGCTTCCTTTTCTTTCCTTCCTTCCTTCCTCCCTCCCTCCCTCCCACTCCCCTCCCCCTTAAAGCAATCTATTACTTCTTGTCATTTAAAGTCACATTGACCCTGGGCATCTAACATCATGCGTCTTTTCTAACTGAAGACAAAATTGACCTCTGTTCTGGGGATTTGGGACTACATGTAAGGTTTTTTGTTCTGTTTTTGTTTTTCTTTTGGAGACAGGGCTCGCTATGCAGTTCAGGCTGGCCTTGAGCTCACTTGGTAGCCCAGGCTGGTCTCGAACTCACAATGATCCTCCTGCCTCAGCCTCCCGAGTGCTGGGATTACAGGTGTGTGCCACCATGCCCAGCTATGTGTGAGGTTTTGAAGTTTGTGAGTCTCAATCATACGCTCAATATTGTCCTACTCCTAGTTCCCACAGAAGACAAGGAAAAGAGTCATGGTGTGTTCAGGAAGGAGACAGAGACCTTCCTCCTTGGAGGACCCTGCCCCCCCTGTGCTCCTGAACCCAAGCCTTACCACTATTTTGGGATAAGGGCCTGGGAGGGAACAGGGAAGGACAAGAAGAGGGTGAGAAATTAGATGGGGTGAGTGGCACTAACTCAGCAAATGCCAGGGGAGTTAACGGCAGGGTTGGGTAGCTGTAGGAACACCAGGATGCAAGAGGAAATCATAGTACAAAGACACACAAGAGGCTGCCCCACCTCCAACAGGTGCTCATAAAGGCTTAGCAGGTATATGGAGTTTCACTAATGGCATCTGTCCCTCCTTCTGGCACTTTTGATCTCACTAAAAGCAAGGCCACCATGTGTAGTTGGGGGTTGAATAGGGGCATATGTACTGTCTGTGGCATCAAAGGCCCAGGAACTGCAAGATCCTGATCTTCACAGAGAATACACATGCAGGAAATGGAGATCATTCACATTCATTTCAGAATACGGAGCCTCAAAATGACACGTCTGCTAATAGAGACAAGAAACCCAGGGTAGGGGCTCATAACGCTGTCATAGCAGCATTCTCATGCCGGCCTTACCTTCTTGGCTGGACTACTTTCTGCAGCCTGGGAAGAGGCTCTGTTCAGCTGTGAGGGCACTTCAGCCTCAGACACTTGTTCAGACTGTCAGAAGAGATCAGAGAGATGATAGTAACACAAAAATACAACCACCTAAATACATAACAAAGAACACTTAGGAAAAAGTCACTCAGGGAAAACTGATTTAGACAAGTTGTGACCAAGCAGGGCTAAATCTGCTGAGCCTTGGGGGAAACTTTCCCTAGACCCTGCTATTACCTGCTACCTCCCTTCCCAGTATTGTTCAGTCTCGGGTAAGGGAATCATGGGAATTTCTTCTATAATTGAACATACATTTTGCTGAAAAACTAAGACTTTACAAAATCAAACTCTAAAACTAACCAGGGTCTAGCGGGAAAAAGGTGGCTGGGAAAGAATTTATGATTTTAATTGGAGCACTAAGAAAATGAACATCATACAACTGTAATTTTTTATTTTGTTTTGTGTATTTACACTTATTAGCATGTGTGTGCAGGACACAGTGTTTACACTCATCACGGGGAGCAGGCACAGCGCATGCACTTAACGTATCTCAATTCTTTCTTATTCCCCTTCCCTCCCTTCATCTCTAGATCCCCTTCTCATTTGCAAAAGATCTCCCTGTTCCTGCTTCCTGTCTAAAAATTTTTACTAGCACATGTTAGCGGCACATAAGGAATACATTCAAATGAAAAGTTAGCACATGTACATAACACATCTTAATTCTTTTTTCATCTCCTTTCCCTTCCCTCCCATCCTCAACTCCCTCCCTTTTGCAAAAAAAAAAAATCTATTTCTCTGTTTCCTATTATTTATCTTTCCTATTACCTATTTTGTTTTCTAAATATTTACACTTTTTGGTTATATAGAGGAGTTATATAATATTTAAGCTGATGTGTCTGATTTATTTCACTTAACATTATAGTCTCAAGGTGCATCCATTTTCCTACAAATGACTCAAATTGATCCTTTATGGCAGAGTAGTATTCCATTGGATATAAATGTCACATTTTTTATTCATTCATCTGTTAATGGGCATATAGGCCACTTCCAAGATTTAACTATTATGAGTTGTGCTGTATAAACACGGGTATGCATATACCACAGTTGCATGATGTCCCTAACTCTTTGGGGAAGATAATGAGAAAGGGAATAGCTGTGTTGAATGGAATTTCTCCTTTTAGTTTTTGAGGAATTCCCATACTGATTTCCATAATGGTTATACCACTTTATAGTCCCACTAACAATACAGAAAGGTGCCTTTTTCCCCTGCAGCCTCCCCAGCATTTGTTTTTTATTTCTCAGTGACAGCCATTCTTTCTGGAGTAAGATGGAATCTCAATGTTTTAATTTATATTTCTTTGATGGCCAGAGATGTTGAGCATTTTTCATGTATTTATTAGCCATTTGTACTTTTCCTGAGATGTACTGATTCATTATAGTTGTACATTTTTTGATTGCGTCTTTCATTTTGGGAGTCTGGTTTTTTTTAGTTCTTTGTAAATTCTACATATTAGTCCTCTGTCACAGGAAGAGCTAGCAAAACCTTTTTCTCATTCGGTAGGTTGTTTCTTCACTCTATTGATTATTTCCTTTACTGTGCAGAAGATTTTAAATTTGATATAATTTCATTCATTGATTCTTGATGCTATTTCTTGTGCAGTTGAGGTTCTGTTCAAAAAGTCCTTCCCTGTGCCTATGTCTTCAAGAGAAAAAAACACTGTAACTTTTTAAATGTTAAATTCCTAGTAAAGAAATGCTCTGGTAAATACAGCTCTTTACCTATGAAAAGAACGGAGGCGTGCAGTGGAAGAAGTAATCACAGAGGTTGAGGTGCTGAATGGTAGGGAATCAATGACTAAATGCACGAAGATTGGCAGGGCATGTACTTCAAGAGACAGCAGGCAAACAGCCAAGTGAAAGAACACAGGGTGACACGTGGCTCACTCATTCCCTGAGCTGTGTTTGAGTACTTTGCTTTCAGCTGCTATTAGCCAGTAATACAAAATGTTAAACCCACAAATGAGCCAAGTGACTTCCACATTTCATTGACATCAGTCCTCCTTTTACCCACGGGGTAATCCACATTACAGAAACACTGCAGCCAAACCAACTGCCTTGCTGTGTCCACTGTGTCCCCAAGCTGGGCCTTTCTTGTGCAGGGTGGCTTCTTCCTCTGACTCTACTCAAAGGGCTGCTTCCCAGGACACTAAAACTCTCCCACGCAGCAGGTTCCTCTCATCACTCATCTTCTGCCAGCATGGAACCCTTGATTGCCCTACCACACCCCTGTCCTTGGATCTGAGACCCTGCACACACCCATTTGTAATCGTTCTCTGTTTCCTGTTTTGACTCCAGTCATCCCTCAAATGTAGGGTTTCTCAAGGTTCTGTCTTCAGTTTCCCTGTCCTCTTTTCTCTCCCTGTTCATTCTTTGCCAGGGTAATCCTAACTGCTACTATGCTTTGTCCCAAACAACTCTCTACCTCTTCTAAATCAATTGTGCAAGTACTCAACAGCTTTGGTTTCTAGTTCCAAATATCTCTTATATCCTTCCCACTTCCCTTAAGGAGAGCTGGATTACTATAGTCCCTGTTACAAGTATTAGATACCACAATACATACATACACATTTAACACTTACTATGTGTTATACATTGCTCAAAGTGCTTTGCATGGATTACTGAACTTCACCATCACAGCCACTGGAAGGAATGATTATCCTCATCTTATTGATAAAGAAATTGAAGACCAAGAAGTTAAAGAAGTAACTCAAGATCACACACAGCAGGGTCTGAACCCAGGCCTCGAGTTCCAAAAGTAAGTTTATAAACAAGAGGTTCTATAGCCTCAGGCATTCTTAGGCCTGACTGCTACTCACTGAGGCATATTTATGGAACATATGCTGCAGGCAGGCTTTGTGCTGGTGTTCAAGAATGAAGAAGACACAAACCTTGCTTACAAGCAGCTTGGAGTCTAGTGGGAGAGGCTGAGGGATAGCTAGGCAATCATGCTGCACGGGCCCATGGTGGGAGGCAGGGGTGTGGGGACCATAGAAACACCTGGCCTCTTAGGGCAGCAAGGACTGGAGAGAAGGTATTATCTTGGCTGAGATCTACATGACAACCAGGGTACATCCAGCTCTAGAGGTAATGCATAGGATGGTGATAATGGATGCTCCAAAGTACAGTCACAATGGGCCTAACTGCTCTGACACCCAGCATTTCAGCCTGGGGTACCGCGTGAATATTGAGGCCAATCCCCAAGACAGGAAACACAAACAAAGAAGAGCGAAGGGAGCTTGCTCAAGTTTAATGTGCCAGACAAACATCCAAGAGAAGCTCTCCAGGAACTACTCATTGCCAGGAGTCTGGAGAATGCAGCACTCACCTTACTTTGCTGGGGATTTCTGAGAATGGAGTCATACTCCAAGATGTGCCAGTCAAATGTCAGTCTTCTTAATAACTGAATGAGGGCCCAATAGTCACCCAAATGCAGGACTTCTGGTGAACTGTGCTAAGGACTGCACCTTGGACCTGAAGCCCCTTGTTGCACTCCACCTACACACCTATTATTTGGAAGGTATATGTTCCGGCCCCAAGTCTATGCATGCGTCCCCTGCAAGGACCACGGGTGTGCACAACGTGTCCTATCAGGCAGGCAGAGAGAGAAGTGACAGACCCCGGCACCTGCCTTTTGATGAGTGAAGTCTCCTCATGGAAACACTAAGGGAGATGATAAATTGACCCTCTTTTCACGATAAATGAGAATGATGGGCACAGCAAAAGCGCTAGACTGGAACTGCTGAATTTTTGCTTAAACATCTCTAAAAACACAAGCAACAATCAAGTGGGGTGGAGAAGTATGCAGAAACAGTGGTAACATACATCGGAATTTTTTTTTCCATTTACAAATCCACTTTCCTGAAATTGCATTCAAGGGCCTGGATATTCAAGCTGTGACTAGCAACAGACAACTGCACAGAGTTATGTTGAGCTGGATATAACCATCAATCTGCTGAGAAGAAACCCAACACCTGCTCAGCCTTCTCACTGCTCCCTCACTGACACGAAAGGGGTCCGACTACTGAGCACCTGGAGGAGCAATTCTCATGAAGGAGCTGGGACACAGGAACAAGGAAGACACAAGAATAAGGTAGTCTTATCAGAGCCAAAAATTACCCCAGGAAAAAGAGATAGGGAAGGAAAACAAGTGTTGTGGTAAGAAAAACTAAAGATGAGACTCAGGCATACAAAAGTCCCTCTCCACAAGAAGCTATCTCACTTCCTTCATGAAAATGGTGTACGGCTTAGGTTACGTTTAGTAGCTGCAAAACACAACAAAACAAGGGTTTCCTTTGCAATTTCTTCTGACTTTTGGAGTACAACTACTACTGCAAATGTTGTCCTGCCTTCGTGGCTCCATGTGTCACAGCACATACCCAGCAAGGATGTGACAAGCTAGGAAAATGTACATTGAGTGAAAAGCTCACTGAAAAATCAAGCTAAGCTTCCAAATATATTTCTATTATATATATAAAGTTAATGCTCCCCTACCACAAATAATAAATGCACTTCCATTCTAATTTTGCAATGAAAGGGCCTGGATATGTCACACAGTCAAAAAAGGTACTTCCCCCCTTCGAGATATGGGGAATTGGTTTTTTTTAAATTTTATTGAAAAAGGTAGAACAGAATTTCACAACAAAATAATAGGAGAATAACAATAGTTAATATATTGCATATTGTCGTCTTCAAAGTAGTTGCTCAGAGTACAAGATATGGGCATAAAAAATTCAATTGATATTAGCACAAAATTTCCTTTTCAATGAATTAAGAGACACTAGCAGTATAGCTAACTTGCATCTTTCTCCCATTTCCCTTCCTTCCTTTCCCCTTTCTTCCCTCCTAGCTCCATTTTCCTTATAAATAATTACTTCCCATTTCACAAAATCTATTTTACATTCTAGACCTTATTTACACTTTCAATTTCTCACACCAGGGAGACAAAATGATGTTTACACATGTGAGTCTGATTTATTTCATTTATGAGTATGGTCTCAAGTTGC